TGATGATGTGTTACTCTCAGTCTTAGCATAGCACAGGAGAAGCCTTCTCTTGAGCCTTAATACAGAATCTTCTCATCTCGTTTCTCTTGCTGCGGTCTTGCGGAGGCTTCTCCGAGGCATAAGAGTATGTCCAAGTACAAACATTGTTGCATTGCTTGGTTAATGTCAATTTATGCTTTGATGCTGGAACTATAAGAGTTCTTCAAAACTCGATACCTCGTAGACCTTCTGGCCGCTTGCGACGGAACTGCATTCGTCACATACAGATCAATGGATCTCTAGTGGCAAATCACAATGCAAAAGTTGAAGCACTCACTGCTTCCTTCAGAAACCTGCTAGGTTCCTCTGGGAACTCATCCTGGAACTTTGATGTCAGTCAGCTCTACCTTGGAGCTGCCCAACCCAGCGAGGGCTTAGTGTCGCCAATCTGCGAAGAAGAAGCCAGGCAAGCAGTGTGGAGCATGGATAGAAACAGTACCCCGGGACCCGATGGTTTCGGACCTAGTTTCTACAAATCGGCATGGTCGACTGTTAAGGTTGAGGTGATGCAACTCTTGGAGCGATTCCACTCTGGAAATCTGGAACTGGACAGAATCAATCGGTCCTACATGGAACTCTTTGGAGCGATTCCACCCAAGAAACCAGATGCGGTGACAGTGGATGCCTTCAGACCAATTTGTCTACAGAATTGCTCGGTCATCAAGATCATTGCAAAGATTATGACAGTGAGGTTACAGAAGGAGATTGGTAAACTAATTGATGGCCACCAAACAGGCTTCCTGCAGGGAAGGTCAATATCAGAGAGCTTTATCCATGCGGTTGAAATAGTTCAGCTTGGCCAAAAGAGGAAAAGGCCGTCTATTGCAGTGAAACTTGACTTCGCCAAAGCTTTCGACACGGTGAACTGGGACGCCCTGCTGCGCATTCTTCATGTGCGGGGTTTTGACATCAGATGGAGGGATTGGGTGCTCAGTCTTCTCCATTCGTCACGCTCAGCGATTCTAGTTAATGGTTGCCCGGGTCCTTGGATCAGTTGCAAGCGGGGTCTGCGTCAAGGCGACCCCCTGTCTCCTTACCTTTTTCTTATAGTTGCTGATGTCCTGCAGCAGATGATCAAGGCGAACGCCGGCCTGGTCAGGCATCCCCTTGCTGATGACTGTCCATGCCCGGTCCTTCAGTATGCGGACGACACTCTTATTGTGATCCGTGGAGAACCAGAAGCTGTTCAGAGCCTGAAGACCATCCTTGATAGCTTCGTTGCGGCCACCGGTCTCCAGATCAATTTCTCCAAGACTACGGCAGTCACAATACATCTGGAAGATCTCAAAGCCGACCAATGCACCTCCATTCTTGGTTGCAAACGGGAGACCTTTCCGCAAACCTATCTTGGGTTGCCACTGTCTACCAGTAAGCTCCACAATGCAGCCTTCACTCCTTACATTGCCAAGACAGATAGATATTTGGCAGGCTGGCAAGCATCACTTCTGAATTCCATGGGTAGGGCGGTGCTGGTAAACTCGATTCTTGACTCCCAGCTAATATATGCTATGTGTGCCCTTCCTTTGCCCCCTGGAGTCATAGCCCAAATGGACAAACGTCGTCGCTCTTTCCTCTGGTCTGGTGACGGCAACATTACGGGAGCACAAAGCCTGGTGGCATGGGAACGTGTTCTCTGCTCCCGGGATCGTGGCGGACTTGGAATCGAAGACCTCGGTCTCATGAATATTTGCCGCCTCCTGAAGCTTCTCCACCACCTATTTGTTGCTGAAGATTCAGCTTGGGCGGCTACCAGATGTCAGGACTCTGCTTGGGCGGCTACCACCTGAAACTCCTTGCAACATTGACTGGTGAACTCGGCGGCTACCATTGGGATGTCATGAGAACGCTGCTTCCTCTGTACCAGGCGGTTACATCAGTCAAAATTGGCAACGGCCAGCAAACATCCTTCTGGTATGATGCATGGGCAAGCGATGAAGCTCTGGTAGATCGTTTCCCTTACTTATTCGGTCACTGTTCCAAGAAAAACCTCTCGGTTGCTCAGGTCCAGGCGGATGGCCTGGACAAGCCCGGGTTCCTGGTTCGCCGATTGTCGGTGCAAGCAGCACATCAACTAGATGATCTGAGGCAGCTTCTCCTGCAAAGTGACCTTCAGAACGAACCAGATGTCAGGACTGGTCCATTTTGCCTGCCAAAAGGAAAGTTCGACTGCGGAGCACTATATAGGCTACTGAAATCAAGGGATGGAACGGTGTTGCCATCTGCTGCCTTTGTTTGGGAAAGCCGTTCACCAAAAAGAGTTCAGTTTTTCGTCTGGCTGCTAATGCAAGGCCGGATTCAGTGTCGGACCAATCTTCTCAAGAAAAAAGTTGTGGACTCGGCCACTTGCGAAGTCTGTAACTCAGTTGATGAGTCCGCAAGCCATGTCATTTTTTATTGTCCATTCGCCCGGGATTTCTGGACTTCAATCGGCTTCCATCAGCTGCCCGCAAGCATAAGTGACCTGCACGGTATCCGCCGACCAAATGAGGTGCCTCCAAAATTCTTTAGCACCTTCATTGCGCTTTGTTGCTGGCAAATTTGGAAGAGACGGAACGGGGTCATCTTCAGAGACGAATCAGTTTCCAGAAGACAAGCTCTGGCGGCATGTGCGACAGATGCGCAACTATGGAGTGTACGGCTACCAAAAAAGGAAGCTGCAATAGCTGAGGTGTGGGCTGGTGTTTTTAGAAATGCTATGCAATAAGTAGCTTTAGCAAAACCAAGATCGAAATGTTGTAATTCACAAACTTTGTAGCCGTTTTTGGCTCTGAGCAAGCTAATACAAATTCAGGTGGGGATTCTCTCCCCCCGGTGACCTTCAAAAAAAAAAGCTCCATCCGCTTTTATGTTTTATCTGACATATATGGCCTTCAGCGTGAAATTCAGTAATTGATACGAGGAATAGGAATAGTAAATTCTACTGTTACTTTCCACACATACATAATACAAAAAAACTAAATAACATATATATTGTAAAAGTGGAAGTACTGCTCCGTCCGTTTAAAATTGTAAGTCGTTTTGGCTTTTTAGATTCATAGTTTTCATTATGTATATATGCACACATAGTACATGCATATCTAGATGTCCAGCAAAAACTATGTAACTATAAAACCTAAAATGATAGCAATTTAGAGCAGTGGAAGTACTATTTATTTTTATCTAATATTTATGTTTTATCATTGTTTCCTTTTTATCCAAATTTAGGTAGTGAAGGTCTATCGGTCTATGCACTAATTTATTTCATAAAAAATGGTGCATTACTTTGTGAGCTTAGATCATCTCCAAAAGAATTCTCAAAACACCCCTCCAATTCAGAATTTTTGGCAAGATTAAAAAAAACATACCACCAACAACTTCAAACCCTAGTCCTCAATCTTATGGCACTTGGGAAAACCGAGTCACCCGCGTGGGAAAATACGTGCAGTTGCGTGTTTGTGTATCCTGCTCGCGCCAGGTTTCTCGGGCGATCTGCTCCTTCGCAGCCGTCCCCAGAGTTGTTTTGGCTTGCCCCTCATGCACTCCAGCTGGCCACAACCGACTGTTGGCCACCCCTAGGCTGGCATTGCCTGCCTGCGGCCGGCTGGCCCTGGTTGTCGTGCCCTGTCTGGCTGCTGGCTGCCTGTGGCCGGTCGTGGCTGGCTGCTTGGCGCCTGTGGCGAGGCGTGGCGGCTGTGGCGTGGATGGAGGCGGCCTCGACCAGGATGCAGGCGCAGACGTGATCTCCTGTGGGTCCAAGTTTTTGATACTTTAGGAGTTGCTTTTTGAAAACTGTTGGAGAGACCCTGCTGCTCCCAATTATTTTTGGCAACTTAGAAAACTCAAGGATTTTGAGAACTAAATTTTGGGAAGTCTTAGAGATGCTCTTAAAAAGTATACTGAACTAATTTTTTGGTAATACTTGGTGACAAAGTGCACCGCTTAAAAGTTTGCATGCATTGATATGTAGTAAGTGAAGACTAAAAATGACAAGCAAAATATCTCCGATTCATTAAGTGAACTTGATATGGATTGTGAGCTTTTAGGACGTAGACCTCTGCGTGAGAGACGAGAAGGAAGAAGGACATGAACAGATTGACGCGCCAGCCCATAGTGGCAGTGAGACAAAGGAGACGCACTCATGGGCTCCAATTGGGTGGTTGTTGGCCCGACCGATCTCAATCCACGATGGAGCTGCTCCAAGTTGGACTTGTTTTTTCAGAGCCAGAGCTTTGCCAAACAAAATAAAAACGAGACAGAAGAAGGATGATTAAAAAAATAAATAAAAAGATTGGAAGAAATACTTTGCTCTTTAAAACTAAAAGTACGTAGATATAAATTTGCCCCGACTAATACGTAGAGTTGTACATAAAGATAAACTCTAAACCTTGTTTATTTTTTCATTTTTTTCTACACATGCAAAGTGTAAGTAACTAAGTGTTCTCGTAACAGGACACACTTGCATGCACGTATTCTCGTAAGATTCTTTGCATTGGATGGACGCCGCACTTGCATGTATTATTTTTAGATGGAAGAGACCTGTTTTGCTTAGAGCATTTCGCACCGGTAATCTTGAATCTGGAGTTTCTCTGTTCCAAGCGATCTTTTACCGGAACGAAGCAGGCAACCTGCATGTCTTTTCCCACAGCGTGCGTGGGGCGGGAAAACCCCCCGCCCTGAACTAAATATAGCAATTAATGACCAGAACAAATTAAACCAGTTGATCCTGAATTCCTGACATCCACTCAAATTTTACACGATCACCCCATATATCACCATGTTCGCTTGATCGTATTAGTCATACTTATCAATCATGATACAGTATTTTTCTCTCACAATAAAACAGCTTATAAGCTATATACGTAATAAGCTAAGGTAAAGACGACCCTTATTTTCCCCGCTAATAACAAAACGTAGCGCCGGCCGTGCCACCAAGAATAAGAAAGTTCTCTCAATCTCAGTCTCAGAAGAAAAGAAGGGCGATCATGGCGGCAAAGAAGGTGAGCAGCTGGCGTCTCATCATCGTGGCGGCGCTAGTGCTGCTGGGCCTGCTGCTGTTGGCGGGGCTGCGGGAGGCTGACGCCGCCGACCCGTGCGCCAGAGATCCCCTTTTCCAAACATTCTGCGACGATGAACCGTCGCCAAATGCATGAGTTGGGCTGGCCGCAGGGCCAGGATCTCTGATGATCACGCGAGAAAGACAGCATGCATTTGGTCTTTACTCTCTACTGCTCATGAATTCTTATATTAATTTATTCAGTCCCCATACTATGTACTTTCTTCGTTCCAATTTATAGGTCGTTCTAATTTACCGTCATACTAAAACGTTTGGAAAGGAGCGATCGCAAATAACAAAATACTGTAGGCCAGTTGTTCAGACTTCCGACAAGCAGAATAGTCAGACTCCCTTCAAAAAAAAAAGAATAATCGGACAGTTTGCACATATTCCTTTTATTATGTTCCCTAATTGGAGGTGTCCTTGACTGAAAATCTTCGATGCTGGATGAACATTTCAGCTCCAACTGAAGCTTGCACAGTGCAGTAGCCATTGACAAGGTCCTTGTCCATCTGTACTTATATATCATACGATTAGTTCCGCAAGAAATCATGGTAACAAGATTATAAATACTTAACAAACTATATACTGTTGAAGAATTCCAATTTAAATAAGTGTTATTTCTGTAAAAAAATACTCCATTCAGTACCTGCAATGTTTTTTTTTTTTGACTTCAGTACCTGCAACACGGTCCATATTAGCTACTCTGTCATTCAGTTACCGCTGTGAAGAATGGAGGATTTGCATTATGCAACTTCAACAGTTTCATTCACATGCTCCTTACCTCTAATTAAAGTTTCACATACATATACAACCTATGCTCTTATCATCAGATGGCAACAACCATATATTATCGTCTCGGCCAGACATTGATTTCTTATATAATGTAATCCTCGGTATCACTTATATAGGAGTCTGTCAGCCATGTAACTGCATTGGCTAAAGCGCATTTCTTCTTATCAAGCTGGCCTACTTTGGCCGCTAACCAGCCGGTCCACATCACCTCAAATTGTTTTCACCGTTGGATTTCGCGATCTACGGCCCTGGTTGCTCTCACCGATTCCTACAGTAACCGCCTCGAAATATCTACTCTCCGCGCGTCCGCAGCCTCCCGTCCCCGTCGTCCCGTCAAAAGAAAGAAAGAAAGAAAACCCCGTCTCCCTCATTCTCTCCGCGACGCTCGCTGCCCCCTTCCAGCGATGCGCCGCACGCACGCGTATCCTATCAGTTCAGGTGTCATTCTCCCTTTGATTGTATAATAACAGCCGCAATTCTCCGTGGAGTGTGGCCCGCCGCCGGTGGAGCGTTTGCAATCTGACCAGCGCTAGGCAGAACGAGACTCTTGTGAAAGACTAATTAGTTTCAATTATTTTCAAGTATTATTACTTTTGTGATATCATAAGAGTTCTATAATATTGTTGCAGATTGGGAGGCCTTATGTTCTCTCGAAATGCAAAGATTACCCTAAGTTTCAAGCAGTAGCCATTGCTATCCAAAGATCTGGCTTCAAGGTAATTTTTTGCAGTCTGGAGGATTTAGACACACAATTGGCTGAAAATAACATTGGACTGATGTGGGATTGCCCAACTCTAACCATATTATGAATTTGTCTGAATCATTTACGTGGTTTCACTAAGGCTTCTAACATATGTGCAGATCGTGTTGCTACTAAGGCTTGTACCTTTACTTCCGTTCAACATGTTGAACTACCTGTTATCTGTCACTCCTGTTGGTGTTGGAGAGTACATGCTGGCTTCTTGGTTGGGAATGATGGTATGCTTCCACTTGTTACCTTTTTACATTTTATGTCATCTTTGTTGATGGCTTCTTTGGGCTTCATGTCTAGACTACCCCAAATAGTTGGGGAGAAAAAAAAAGGCTCTGTTGCTGTATGACGGCACCAGGCTACTGGCACATACTATATCTGGCTCGTTGAAACTTTGCTTTGTAACTATCTGCTACATTGTTTGCATAATTGCAACCATTTGTTTGTTTGCATAATTTGCTGTGTTAGACTAAGCTTTATAAGTAAATGTGCTGTTTTCCTTTGGTACTTGTTTGATACTAAATCTATTTTATTGATAATATATTTACACAGAAAACTTTGTGAGTTGTGACTATTAACAGCATACTCATGTCAGTAGCTAACTCAGCTTTATATTACCCTTTTCATTTATGAACTGTTCTTAGCCCATCAAGGCAATGCTACATTTCATTGTTGCTAATCATCCTTGTTTTACAGCCAATCACTCTTGCCTTGGTGTACGTTGGAACAACACTGAAAGATCTATCAGATGTGACACATGGGTGGAGCGAGATCTCGACTACTCGATGGGTGAGTAATACTAATGATGCATTATCTCAATTGCTGCATTGTGCTTGTGATGTCATGTATTGGCTTGTGTTTTGTAACTATCAGTTCATATAAAATTTCTGAATACAGAGTAAATAACTTTTTCATAAAGAAAGAAAATGTATCATTAGGTTCTTTTTTTTGCATTTATCTTTGGTTCCTACATGAACACAAGTTATTAAATATGCCTGTTTGCATAAACGATTTGTTTATCATACAGAATTAAGATGATTGGGATCTGATAAAATTTGTCCATTTGCGCTCCCAGTACATCCGTGTTACTAATAAGTTGTGTCATCAACGAACCTCTGCAAAACCTAGAAAACTTTGCAGTTATCTTGTTCATTTTCACTTGTACTTGAATGAGTGATTTAATCTTGGGATATTTGATTTGAGCTTGAGGGCAAAATTTTGGTCACTGCTACAATTCTTACATGTGTGGTGGTATATCAGTGTGTTGATTAGGCCGTGTTTGATTTTGGTGGGGTAGCACTTGGAAGTAGACGGAACAGTTGCAAGTTATGTCTTAGTTTTAGTGGAGACGTGCAAGGAAAACATTGAACATCCTATATCGACAAGCTCCTTCCATCCCAAAAAAGAATGCAAATCTAGGTGACAAGTCGAACTTTCTAAAATTTGACCATAGAAAATAATCTCAACATTTATGTCTCCAAATATGTTTACTATGAAATATATTCCATAATTGATCTAATGATATTTATTCAGTATCATAGTTTTTAGTACTTTTTTGTATAAATTTAGTCAAACTTAAAATTGTTTGACTCTTTTTGGGATGGAGGGAGTAGATAACAAATGCTACAGCAAAGAAAACCTCTTTCTTTTTGGTACCTCATCACCAGTGAATCAAATGTTTCTGTTAAGTTGTTCCTCATTTTTTTTCTCGAAGGACGCAGGAGAAGTTGTTCCTCATTTGTATTTCAGAAGTAGATTTTGATTTAATACATTGGTTCTAGTAACTTCAGCTGATACCTATGCTTGTTTCTTTTTTCTTTCAGATTTTGATAATATCTGGCTTTGTATTATCTGGTATGTGCCATTATCCTCCCTTTATAGTTCTGATAGCATCTGTCTTTTTTGGTACTTAGTTACAGGTATAATTCACTCTAATTTTATCCAAAATCAATGTCTTAAAAATACCAAGCCAGTTGACTTAAAGTCATGTGTTTCTTACCTTATCTTTTTAATACATCAGGATCTTGTAAATTGGGCCATTCTCCTTATTTCATGTCCGGATTTATACACAAGTCCTAGGAGATTTTAAACATCCTTGCTTTTGGTTTCTGAATCTACTTATTAAAGAACAGCAGTGCATGCTGATAGCCGAGACATGGGGATCCCCTTGAAGGTTTTGCATGCCCTGGTTATAGATGACTAATGAAATTTCATCTTGGCACAGCTTAGGCCTTGAGGAAATGAGGAGCAGATAAAACTGATTCAACTGAAATTTAATTGCAATTCTAGAAGGTCTATGGGACTTGGGAGAAATAAATTTGCACACTTTAAGGTCTATGGGACTTGGGAGAAATAAATTTGCACACTTTAACAAACCTGCATTCTTATTAATGGATATCCAGAAAGCAAACAGAACTGCATTCAACTGTAGGCCTTCAATTCAGTTCAGTGGATTTGCAACATTGAGTGGGCAATCCCTTCTCTATAGAAAATTTGAAAAATTTATCATAAAATGACATGTTAAATTATTCCTGTTCAATTATCTTCACAAGTCTCTTCTTGCTCATGTATATATTGGCTGTTTTCACTGTGGTCCTGCAGTGGTCTTGATTATCTGCGTCACAAAAATTGCAAAATCATCTCTGGAGAAGGCATTGGCCGAGAATGGAGAGCTCGATGTAGGAACATCGCAGCTTCCTGTGGTAGCCTCTCCCTCGGATCTGCATCAACCTCTTGTAATCAAGATTGACACATCAAATGAAGATCATGAGAAGTAAAAGTCTTGTGTTTACAATCCCTGATGTACATTCTTTGTCTGTTGAGTCTGTAGACTATATATATACCCATAGCTCTGGTGAGGCCGGTAAAAGGGTAAAAAACAACCCAAAAAGAGAGAAAATGAGGGTGAGTTTGACTGATAGGTAATAGTAATACGCTATGCGCTCTGTTTCACTCCACGTGCTACCATATCTTTGGTGAAAATGCAATTGTAGTATTTAGTTTTCTGACGTGCCCAAGTTTCGAGCTTCATTTGGGCCTACAGGCATACCTACGTTCTTTACATGGTTATAAACATAACCCACATTCCCCCTAACACCCCACCCCTTTCTTCAACTACTTACTAGAATAAATTAATTCAAGTATTGTCTTAAGTTAAACTTTTTATGTTTGACTGAATATATAGAAAATAGCATAAATGTTTATGAAACTAAATGAGCATATTATGGAAATATATTTTTATGATAGATTTAATGATACTAATTTGGTGTCATAAATTTTTTCTTTCTTTTCTATAAATTTAGTCAAACTTAAAATGGTTGACTTTAAGGCAATTCTAAAAATTGATTTGTTTGTGGATGGATGTAGTGTAGTATGTATTAGTCTATGATTTGTCGCTTTTGTTCGTAGTCAACTTTAATCTAGTTTATGGAAAAATACATAAACATCTACAAGTTCAAGTGAGATTATTAATTGGATTTCTGATGAAATATGTTTAACAATGTATTCTTGAACTTGTATATAAATGTTGATGCACATATTTATCTAAAAGCGTCGTTAAAGCTATTAGATAAAATTAAAGTGGATGGTGGGAGTAGCAGGATTGGTTAAACATACGTTTCTATCTGAACATGTACGCTCTTTGGTACAATCAGCAATGTTTTACGGATGTGTGCTACATTGTCATCACTTCTGTTATTCATACAATGGCAAAACAGCCTCTGCTTTTGGTGAATTTGTGGCCAAATCGAACTATATAGATCTTTTTGTCCGAAGTGTGACAAGCTACAAATTTTATACGAGGCAAATGATTGGGCACTTTTGGGGTAGTTTTTTCTTTTTTTTTTGGCTAGCAAAAAGTAGCTCCATGACAGAGATAGCCAGATAGGTCTGGAGGAGTATAATTATTTTCACTTACGAATATGGGCCGGGCCGGGCCGGTATCTCTGGGTCTCAACTCAAAACAGCGACGCCCTTGACCTGGACTATGTTTGGTTTTGAGAGATGCACTTTTTTTTATTTGTGGAATGCAATAAGTTGATCTATCACCACCTTATTCATTATTCATTATAGAGGCATTTACATGTGTGTCATTATAAAAGTTTGTAATTACCCATAAACGATTAAAATGTTTGAGAGGTCATAAGTGCCACTGGTTGGAATTTTTTTACCCTCGATGCCATTCCCGTCATATTCTGTTAGTTTTCAACGGTTTGACCATCCTAACATATGGGTCCGGCTAGTTAAAATGTCCAGAATGCCCCCATCTTGTTTCTAGCCGGCAACCCTATCCTCTGCAGGCCCTCATCGGGAGCGGCAGCTGCAGAGCCCGGCGGCTCCTCTGCAGCGGGCGGCGGGCGGCGGGCAGCCGAGTCGCGTAGGGCGGTGCGGGCGCGTGGCTTCAAGGTCGTCTTCTTCCATGGCTTCACCGGACAGCAGCTCCTGCGTCGACACCGGCTCCCATGACCGCACCATACCTCGCTGCGGGGAGGCGCCCGCGCCTGCGTCGTCCTCGGCTCCGACGCCGTGCTCGGCTTGGGCTCCTGCGTCTACGATGATAGCACCTCCGTGGCCGTGCCGGTGCCTTTGCCGAGAGGATCAGCCCCGGCGTCTGCGTCCGCGATGATAGCACCTGGCGCACGCGCGGATGCGGCTTCATGGTGCAGTCGCAGTAGTTCTGCAGGCGCTCCGGTGGGATGTGCGATGCCTCGGTGATGATTCACCATGGACACCCTTCCCTACCCACATCGTTAGCCTCCGCCGCCGGTGTCGTCATCGAGTAGGCGCCTGCCCAAGGCTTGGATCGCGTTTGTCGGGGTGGTGATGCACTGATGCTGGAGTCACTGACGGGGCGGCGTGCCATCTTCAAGGATGCGGAGAGCGGGAGCCCCACGGCCGCTTCTGCACGCTGCGCAGCCTCGGCTGCTTCATTGCCACGGCGCGCACATGCCGCTGATGGTGCTACTTTCGGCCAGCGACTTCGATCTCGGCGCCATATGGATGCTAGTTTTACGTACTCGACACTCGCAGCGGGCACCTCCTTTGTAGCGGGCGGCGCGGTGCCGGTCAGTGCCCCTTCTCACCGGCCTGTGCAGCGCTAGCTGCCCTCTAGACACGGCTTTAGTCGCCGCAGACTCGGCTCCTTTTCGTCACATAACGCGACGCGTTCGATGATCCATGGACACTTCGGGCGTTATGGGCGAAGGAGCAGTTGCACTTTTTTTGAATTTAAGGCGCTGTTGCATTGATGAAGAAGAAGTTGACGAACGCCGTCGTCTCTATGGCCGGCCGGCCGGCTTGCACAGGTGCACGTACGTCTTCCTGGTGACTAAAGAAGCTTACCGCTGCTACTTGCATATACGTGTACATACTTCTATTAGCTTGTCGCATATCTATATATACGGACATGATACACACATGCAACTTGCTAGCCTGTTTCTTCTGGCACACCTCACTTACGTAGGCGATTAGTTCATGCATCCTGCCTCTTTTCTTTATAGGGCAAATACGTGAATGCTTATACATTCTGGTTACTAGCTAGTTTCTTGTATTGTTAGTATGTGATCAACAACCCCCGTAGATAAATATAGACAACGCCATGTATAGTGGCCGCCTGTCTGGTGGGCTCTCTTTCTTAAATGAGTTTGAGCTCCATTACGTATTTTAAGAAATATAATAATATATATATATATACTTCGTACATGCAATGCAAGTTTCTGCTAACGCTATATAAGTAAACACTAAAAAAAGATTATTGTGATGTATTTTGTCCCTTAGCTACAATTTTTTTTATGTCTTATGCCAAAGTTCTATGCAGTTTTTATTTTTTATCAGGTAGTACAAGTACTCGCTTTCGGAGATGATGGGCACGACGCTCCTTATCCAACCGAACGCTCTCATGTTCCATCCGCAATTTGGCACCAAAACACTCATCCAGCGAGTGGCACGGGAGGAAAAAGAAATTTTAGCTCGTTTCTCTAGTCTGAGGGTATTTAAGTCTTTTCGTAGCTCAGTTTGACACCGTTAGCATCCAATGTGGATGGTGGTGTGGAGGACAAAAAAGTTTCGACTAATGGCACCTGTGACCGCTCAAACTTTTTAATGGCTTATGAATAATTACAAACTTTTATAATGGCACACAAGTAAAAGCCTCTTCATTATAAGGTACCAATTAGTATAAGCATGAGAAAGGCGATTCGCTAAAATTGGAGGGTTGAACTCCGGTGGCGATGAAGGGCGCTGCCACCGTGGGAATGTGGAATGTATGGCAGTATAAAGGCGTATATGCTCAAGCAAACTATGTGCGACCACGGGCGCTGCTTTGCGAGGAAGGGACGAGCGGCGCTGTCACAGTGTGGTGGTCTTTATTCATGCACGGCGAGGGAGCGGACGCCCGGCTACTAGTCTTTCGCAGGGGTAGGCGAATAAGCAAGGACCTACTGCCGCTGGATGGCTTGGCTTGGCCATGGCGGTGCTGTGGCAGAGAAAAAGGAAGAGAGGCAAGGAGACAGAGCGAGCAGCGGTTCGGCGAAGACAAGACAAGTAAGGCGAGACGAGCAAAGGAAAAGCGAGAAACTTCAAAAATGCGAGCACGCAACCAATTCCAAGCACGACGAGGAGACAAGGTAGGACGGCGAATCATATCTTTAGAGCATGGTCGGTGGCGGCCTGGTGCGCCTTGTGCCTTGATAGGAAGGAGTGGACACGGCGCAGAGAAAAAGGACGAGGAGACCTGAGCGAACTCGTCCGAGCACGTGGTCCGGTCGACGAGTTGGAAAGGACTTGACGATGCAGCCACGTTGCTCGGCTGCACGGACAAGAACAGAGAAACTTAGTTTGAAAGAAACAAGTGAGCAGCGGAGCTAGACGGCTTAGCGTAGCATAGACGACAAGGACAAGCAGAGACAAACAACAACTCTGCCTTGGCGTGCATAAGGAGCGCGGGGAGGGGGAGCAGTGAGGACGGCACATGCTCCACGCGCTATGGCACGGCATAGAAGCAGACAGGGAAAAAGAAAGAGCAAGCAATCGACTAGCGGGCGGCGCGGTGGATGAGCGACGCGAGTAAATCTGGTGATTGATTCCGAGCGGTCAGGACGACAACTGCCGTGGGTACGTTACAAATTTATCTAGGAGCTAAAACTAGTCGATACGTAAACGTAAACATGTCACTAGACCAAAGCTTTTCACTGAGCGTGCTTATCAAAACAAACACGTGAGTGTATATATCGTTTTATTTATTAATAGATTTTATTTTATTTATAAAAGTTGCTTTTCATGCTTAATCAATTAAACAAGCCGTTCGCTATTTATCCGCTAGAAACGTTATCGAACATTCCTAAATATTTGTATGCACTAAGGAATTTAACTTGGGCGCCGATTCGAGTCCACATAACCGAGTCACGGATCCACTCATCGCATAAGTATGCGTTTTAAATAAAAAATTCCGATAACACGGAGGAAAAAAAAATTTTTGCTTAGACCTAAATCGAGGGTGTTAAACGAGCTCATAACACGAGGGTGTTATAGCTGGAGTCGCTTTCATGCTTAATCAATTAAACAAGCCGTTCGCTATTTAAACGCTAGAACCGTTATCGAACATTGCTAAATATTTGTATGCACTAAGGAATTTAACTTGGGCGCCGATTCGAGTCCACATAACTGAGTCACCGGATCCACTCATCGCATAATTCTATATTTTTTTTTTAAATAAAAATTCCGATAACTCGTTTCGAAAATTTTTGCTTAGACCTAAATCACGGTACTAAACGAGCTCATA